TTCAGGCAATCCACTCACCTCAGCCTCCCAAAGGCGTGGGATTACAGGCTGAGCCACCGAGCCTGGCAGAATTTACATCTTTAAAAATGAGACACTTTCCTGGCACCAACACTACCCTCTGATGAGTTAAAGATCCGATAAGCCTTACTAACTTATACTAGTGCTTGATCAACAATCAGGGATCCTGATCCATTGCCCATGCACTCAGTCCTGCCCAGTTGCCAGTTTTTGTAAATAACATCATAGGGGAACAAGTCACACATGTTTACTCACGTATCACCTGTTTCACTTTTGCCTGGCGATGGCAGAAGTAAACAGAGGCAGAGACCAGCTGGCCTGCAAAGACTTAAATATTTACTATAGGGCCCTTTATAGAATAAGTCTCCTAACCTTTGGCCTCAATTAATACATCTGTGTGACCAATGGTCTCTATGGCCTGCAGGCGTTTTATATTGTCCAAAAATGCCAGAGTCAGCCAGGTTGTGTCTAAGAATTAGGAAAATCTGGTTCAAAAGTTTTCACAATCTCAATTTCTAAGGATCACACATTGTATCCACAGTTCATATTTGCTTTTGCAATATCCATAATGGGTAAGTGATAGTACGATCCCTTCCCAGATGAGGACACTGAAAAAGAGAAATACAATATCCCAGAGCATTGATATAAGTACAGACAGATGTTTTGAATATACAGTCATCTAAATTTCATATTACTGATTCCTCCAAGAAACCATGACTATCACCCTATCTCAAAATCTGTTCTTCTAAAAGTTTGATGTCCTTTGCAGAAACTCTTAAAGAGTGTCTTGAAATATTAGTGTCTAAATTCAACCTGTCTTTCCATATCTTTCGTGACTCCTTCAGGAATTCAGCACTCTCACCAGATTGATTATGCATTACACATTTTTATTCATTTATTCACTGATTTAATTAATGTTGGTTAAGTTCCTCTTACTGCTTTACATGCTGGCAGTAGAGCTGTAAAGTCACCCAGGTCTATTGGCCTAGATGAAAGGTGAACCCCACATTGGAGTGGAGCACGCTGTGTTCTGTGTATCAGGAACGAGCAAAGGATGGTGGGAGTGCCCAGGTTACTGCATTCTACTCAGATGAGTCTGCGACAGTTTTAGAGAGGATCCATATCTGAAAGGCTAAACAGCAGAAAGCATCCTGAATGATGGAAACACAGCATCATTTAAAGGCTTCTAAGATTGAAATGCCAGCACTGGCTTGGTTATTTTTAGGCCACGGGGGTTATATTTGGACGAATTCCACAAAGTACATAAATGTTCATAATTCCTTAAAACACATCATTAAGACAACTCTCTAGACACAGGCGGAAAAAAAATGTGGCTTCTGTGCCCCAATGGAACAATGATTAACATTCAAAGACATTATGTCACTTTGTCCTCACAGCAATAAGATGCAATATTATTAGTCCCTCGGTACAGATAAAAACCTGACACTGAAAGACAAGTGTTCAACCAGAACGTTACTACACAAGACCACATAAAGTGCAGAGGGGCTGTTACTCTGAAAGCCCTTTGGGGAAAGTCCCGATTCTCCATGTTCTGAGACCTTGCCCGCTCCGAAAGAATTAGGTTGTGTAGTCTGGAGATCAGGGTTCCTCCATGGCATTATGCTATGCGCCCCTTGCTTACCTATTGCTTAATTCATAGGCAGCAATGATTGTTGCTATGAATGTAGCAAAAAATGACTTTTGCTTCCCATGACTATTGTATCTTCTAGTGAGAGAGTTGACACTAAGAAATAATCTGTGGGCTCTCCTTGTCATGCACAATTAGATATACACTGTAGGCCACGGGTAAAGTCAAAGCAGGCGTCCCTCTGCATAGAAAAATAGTCTAGAGTGTGACCTAGAAAGAGAAACTGGGCCAGCTAGCCACTTGGCATATATTTTTCACAGTTGGGGAACATACCTTGAAAGTATGTGACCTCTCTCTGTAGCCATGTTTAGGATGGCTTCTGAGTAGGCTCCATCAGGTGTGTGTCCTTGGTAGTCATAGTTTGTGTCCCTTACCCTGGGGCAATTATAAACAGCGTTCTATTTTACTTCTAGATTTATCTCACTGATCACATGCCCACCTGACTTTTGCGTTTTTAAAATAGTCACACTTGACATGAAGACTTTCTTCAAATTCTGTAAAATGTCACTAGGGTCTTGGCCAAGATTTGGCTGGCAGTAAATTTGGATAGCATGATGCATGCGTGTTTTACTGTACCCTTGGTTTATATTTAGAATCTTCTCTCAGCAGAATGGATTACCTTTGGAAGCTCTGTAACAGGAGCTCTGCCTGTTGGAAGAAGTAGGGGGTGATCCTTTGTAGCTAAGTGGTCGATGTTCACAAACAGCGGAAAAGATATGGCCTCTCCTGCAACTCACTTTCTTCTTGAAAGTGCAATTACAAGCATGCTTTGCGTGGTTAGCTCTTAGACTCAGAAGACGAGCCAAGGCTTGAAGGCAGCCTTCATAATCCCACTCTTTCAAGGCATTCCAAAAATGAACGCTAGCATAGATGGCAGACAAACATTTAAGCTACATGTGGTATTGTTTGTAACTCACCGTCTGCATTAGAAACATAACACAACAAAGGACACAACCTAAGGAAGTCTGTGGTAGTTAAATACATAAAAGTAAATGTACATGTTTAATGTAACATAAAAAAATAGGTTTGAAATACTCATAAAAGAGAAAAAATCAAACTAACAAGAACTAAAATACAAACTTTTAGAAATAATTTGAACCTCCCAACAAACTGTGTATTTATTCCACTGACTATTAATTTTGTTGGTGATATAGAGTTGTTTTATGGGTTGAATTTTTCTTGTTTTATTTCTAGTCTCCCTAGTTTCTGATCATTGATCAAAAACACTTGGTTTTAGCTAGTCACATAAAATTTTGTTTTTATATTTCTACCATAAGTTGAACCCTGGCTTGGTCAAGTTATCAGTTAAAAAGACAAGAAACGCTGTCATCATAAGAAAAGAAATGAAGAAAGAAGTAAGGGAAGGGAAGACGAAAAGGAGCAAAAGAAGAAAGCAAAGTGGAATTGGGGAAGGGGAGGAAGGAGAAAAGAGAGAAATGCCAGGGAGGGACAGGAGGAGGAAGGTGGATAATCATTTAAGTGGTCTTATATTGCAAGTTGCTCTCACAATGGGAAGCATTTTATGTACAGAAAATCTTGTTAGATAGAGATGTGTGATCTCTAAGTTTAAATATGTCACATGACTGTAACATGAGCCCCACCAGCTAGTACTGTGTCCCTCTAGAGTAAAGCATTGTCGCTATGACCTCTAAATAGTTTCTATTTACTGCTTAGAGATATACCAGTATTGAAATACACCTGTAACTAGAATGCTTAAAAGAAAAGTCGCACTGTACTAAATATTCAGTAAAAGAAATCAGCTTCATTTTCAATGTAGAGTAGTATTATAGATTTCCTTATTTTTATAAAATCTCTAAACACCGTCCTCACAAATATTAATGACTTTCAATGTCTGCAGTTTGATTGTGAGCTTTTTCAAGAATAAGACTTTTTTGGTTGTTATTTTTTCTATGTTTTTTTCAACACAAAACACTTTGTTCAGAGCATAGTGGATAATTTTAATAATAATTCTATACTATTATAAATATAAATGCTTAGATATGCATATTATTTTATAAGGTTCACTGTGAAAATAGGTGAAAGTCAGAAAAGACTAATTAATAATTGCTGAGAGCTTAGTGTTCCAGGCATTAACTCACAACAACCCTTAGGTATTAGAATTCCCAATTGACAGATGAGGAAATTAGCCCTCAGAATATTAAGGAACTTATTACCCAAGGTCCCATTAATAACTAGCAGTGTCACCAAAATCCCACTTAAAACTGGTAAATACCAGAGTGCAACTCTCCCCTCCATCCTCGACTATAGAACGTAGGCTACCTCTCAGTGAGATATTGACCACCTGAGCTGAGGCATGGGATGAGACTGGGATAGAGTAAGATTATTGCTCATTTACTGTATTTTAAGAGAAAACTGTTTGAAATATCAAAATCCTTGTAATTAGTGCTCTGTCTCTTTTTCTTTTCTTCAAAATTGTATATCTGGCATGATTTTTAAAGTTTTAACTATTAAAGTACATTAAAGACTGACTGTAGAAAATAATAAAAAATAGACTCCTAATTAATAATTTCATACATTAAGCTTTTTTTAATCCCATTTCCTTGGAGAAAAATTTATTGGCTTGGAGTCTACTGTTGTTATGAATACGGTGCAATGCATTCACGATTGATAAGAAATGAATTTGAATATCATGCATGGACAATGGATTGGAGAAGAATGTACCCAACAGATATTAGATCCAATCATGATAGTGGCCCACTGAAATAGGACTTGCCATCTATAGCTTATAGATGAGAGTTACTAAAGTTAAGTAGCCCATTCTCAATGACATAACACAGCCAGGGCTTGTGAATCACTAGAAAGTGGATCCATATTCACCCCCAATTCTATCATCTTTCCAATATGACACATCATCTCCCATTGGCCCACAGCTGAAAGTCATAATAGTGAAAATCATCTATATGAATAAAATATGTTGACTCAATACTTGTGAGTACAGA